CATTTGAATACACACATGAGGAATTAAATATTTCTTATATTATGTTGTATGAATCATTTTAACATTAACATTGCTAAATTATATTGAGGAAAAAAAAGACCCTTTGGGAATATATCACCTACATTGGGATTTGTACACAGGAGGCAGACACATGACGATCATGAGTTCAAATGTATCTTTCATCATTACTGACACCTAAGCCAGGCTGCTAATAAACATGAAAATATGAACAGTACTTGTGAAAATATGGAAAAAATACCCAGAAACAACAAACCACCACACTTTCAGATGAATAGTTATTGGAAAAATATGATCGCACACTGCTTGATAATTAAGAAAAAAAGGTACCACTTAGGTGAATGGGGTAACATTATATACATTTCAGCAGAAAAATACCTAATCATTAAGCAAATGTAAAAATTGAACAAAAGCCACAGGAGGCATATAAGGACAACAAAATAAACTTGACTAAATGAATTTTCCACACCTATAGCATTTTTTTGCACACACCTCAAATATTTCAAAATAGAACCCCCAACTCAATGACTGCTAACATCAATTCCTACTCTCTGCCTCATGCTGAAGCTTAGGGATGTGAGTTCTTAGACCCCTGATTTAGGTATCATGAAAATTTTAATGATGCCCCTGTATCCCTCTGGAAACCAGGGCCAAATTAAATCATTTATAAGGTGACAAAGATATTATAACAAAAAGAGGAGAGAAAACAATACAAATTAGTAAGTTTTACACCTAATTCATAGTAGTTAGTTAATGTACTTGAATAGAAGCATAAATCTAAAGGTGATACAGTATCATTTAAAATCACAGTGCAAATGTAAAAGCTATGGAGGGAAAGGTATCCCTAATGTCATAAGTCAGTCTATACCATTATTTGTGAAGGGAGGATGGCCTGGATACCTGCATCTCTGAAGAGAAAGGTATCCTGACTTTTGGGAAGTCATACTATTACTGAATCTTTGGAGAAAATGTATCCTGGATACCAACAGATATAAAGAAAAATCTATCCTGAATGTCTATTGTCAGGCTATACATGCTGCTGTGAAGGGAAGGTATGCTGAAAAAAACCAAAGCTCTGAGGATAAAAGTGTCCTGACTGTCAGGAAGTCAGGCTATACATGAAGTTGTGTTCCAGTGGGTGGTGATCTCCATGCATTATCTAGCACTCCTGTTCCACTTAGAGAGAGACTATAACAAGTGATCTTTGTTCCACTCTGCTAAGAGTTTACCAGAGTACATGTCCATTGCTTCTTCTATTGTCTTTTCCAATAAGGATTTTCTGTGCAATGGTAACCATTTCTTCTTAGGTCCAGTACAAATTGTCACTCTTCTGCTTGACTAAACTGTGGGGAAAACAGCTCCAGAAATGTAGCACCAGTGAATTTTTTTTTCTTCTGCTATACTCCCCTAATGGAGATTCCCATCAGGGGTATATGTTGCTTCTATGGAGAATTCTGTATCCACTGTGGTAAAAGAATTCATTCACAGAAACATACTGAACAGGTTTATTTGGAAGGGAGTCATCCAGGAAGGCAGCTGCCCCTATCAGTGTGGAAAATGTGAACTGCCAACTAAACTAGCTTAGGGCTTATATATGTCTTCTTAGGGGAATAGGTGTTTCATAGAGAATATTTCTCAGCATGTTAATTGGTAAAACTTCAGTCCCTGAGGTGTAAAAACATTTGAGATTTGGCTGGACTACTGCTTAGGGATTGGGTGGCTTTGAGCTTAGGTATTGCTTGGATTTTTGCTCAGCTGGTCAGAGATAGAGTTTGTTTCTTTGCCTTTGGTTTCAGGGCAAAATTGTATTTCTTTCACTGGCCCTTTTTAAGTATTTGGCTCTTGTTTAAGGGTGAGTTTTTTGGCTGCAGTTTGAGGGCCATAATCTGTTTGTTTCACTGGAACTGGTTCCTGGGTCGGGTAGTGTTTCATTGCTGGCACTTTTACACTCAGCACAAGGCTTTATAAGTTCATATATTCATTTTTGATGTGTGCGCTGGAGCAACAATATAAACATGCACATGACAATGCTTACACAGATTGTTGACATTGTTAATTTTCTTCAACAGAATAAATATTGTTTTCAAAATTATTGGAAGTGTGATTGTGAATGATTCCACCAAATACTTGATAATTAGAAGCCTCATTAACTTTTCAGGTACTCAAAAAGGATTGTAATTTACAAAGGCTTTAAAAGTTTGACCATAAATTTTAATACTCTATGAAGTGCACAATTAAACCAAACTGACTATATTCATAGTTTGCCTGCTGAATGATTTTTTGTAATGATTTCAGAGACTTCTGGCACATGCCGAAGCTTTACCACACTGATCAATTTAAAATGGTTTGTCTATAGTATGTGTTCTTTTATGGGTTTCAAGAAATAATTCACATGCAAAGTCCTTTCCACAGTGATTGCATTTTTAGGGTCTCTCCCCATTATGAGTTCTTTTGTATTTGAAGATGAATCTGCACAGCAAAGGCTTTGCACATTGATAATCATATGATTTCTCTCGAGTATGTGTTTTTTATGGCCATTAACAGTGCTTCGAAATGTGAAGATTCTACCACATTGATTTCATTCATAAGGCTTTTGTCCTTTATGTGTTCCTTCATGCATTTGAAGGGAAATGTGCTCAGCAAAGGCTTTTCCACACTGAATACATTCATAGTGTTTCTCTCAAGTATGTGTCCTTTTATGTTTTTGAAGGTGCCCATGACAAGAAAAGGCTTTCCCACACTGATGACATTCATGCGGTTTCTTTCCAGTATGTGTCCTTTTATGCCCTTGAAGGTTACTATGACAAGAAAAGGCTTTTCCACACGGATTACATTCATAGGGTTTCTCCCCAGTATGTGTTCTTTTATGCCCTTGAAGAAGACTGTGCTTAGAAAAGGCTTTACCACACTGATTGCATCCATAGGGTTTCTCTCCAGTATGTGTTCTTTTATGCACTTGAAGGTTACTATGACAAGAAAAGGCTTTACCACACTGATTGCATTCATAGTGTTTCTCTCCAGTATGTGTCCTTTTGTGTCTTTGAAGGTGACTGTGACGAGAAAAGGCTTTACCACACTGAATACATTCATAGGGTTTCTCTCCAGTATGTGTCCTTTTATGACTTTGAAGTTGACTATGAAAAGAAAAGGCTTTACCACATTGATTTCATTCATAGTGTTTCTCTCCCGTATGTACTCTTTTATGCATTTGAAGGTTACTATGACAAGAAAAGGATTTACCACACTGATTGCATTCATGGGGTTTCTCTCCAGTATGTGACATCTTATGACTTTGAAGATGACTGTGCTGAGGAAAGGCTTTACCACATTGAGTACATTCATAGTGTTTCTCTCCAGTATGTGTCCTCTTATGTCTTTGATGGAAACTGTGCTGAGAAAATGCTTTACCACACTGATTACATTCATAAGGTTTTTCTCCAGTATGTGACCTTTTATGCCTTTGAAGTTGACTATGAAAAGAAAAGACTTTACCACATTGATTACATTCATAGGGTTTCTCTCGTGTGTGTTCTTTTATTCCTTTGAAGATCACTGTTATGTGAAGGCATTAACACATTGTGTATGTTCAGAAGACGTCTCTCCAGTTTGGCTTCTTTCATACCTGGGAAAATGAGTATATATGTAAATGCTTTACCATATTCGATAATATGTTGGATCTTGAAACTTACATTAATTTATATTATAACTTTTTAAACTGTAAAGAAAAGTCAGATCTTACAATCTTTTTGTTTGTTTTTCAAGACAGGGTTTCTCTGTGTAGATTTGGAGCCTATCTAGGCACTCACTCTGATGACCAGGCTGGCCTGGAAGTCACAGAGATCCACCTGCCTGCCTCACTAGTGCTGGGATCAAAGGTGTATACCACCAATGCCCAGCCTTTTTCTTTCAATCTTATCATTGTGGTTACACTCAAGTTTTCCCCTTCATTAAGGTTATTTTTTTGCATTTTTGAAGATACTTGTGAAGGTTTAATCCTTTATTATACGGTTCTCATTTTCAGAACCATTTTCTATAACAGATTTTTCACATATTGAAGAGAACTGGATAAATTGAGAACTTCATCACACTTATTATATATTTTAATTTTCCTGCACGTTGAGGGATACTACATTTGCTAATGACCTACAACAAAGCGATTTATTTCCACAGTAATAGAGTCATTGGGATTTATTCCAGAGGGAGATTGTTGGTGTATTATCAGTGAAGTTGCAAAACATATTATTTGTACACATGAACCAAATTCAACTAGTATGCTCTAATGGGGACTACTCCATGATTTTTAAATGTCCTGCATGAGAAATATACCATGTTGTCCATATCCCTTTGCTGACATGGCTTGTATGCTAACTAATATATTGTATACCTAGTAAAGTAAAGATTACAAAGAAGAGGCTTCAACATTTAACTCAGTTTGACTTTCTGTTCCTTATAGACATGTACTAGTGATATTAAGTTTTCCCTGAAATAAGTGCCCCTTCACTCTTGACAGTAATTGCTGCTGTCACTAAACTTACAAAAGTAACAGCAAGTACTTGAGTAACATTAGCTTTTCCATGGAGTATTTGCTTAAGGGAAACTCTGAAGTTATGCTCATCACCACAACCATGTGTATACATTTAATAATATAGGTAATATGAAATAAATGGAATTACATTTCTATAGCATAGCGCTCATGTTGTGAGGATTCGAGTGGTAATTTCTCTCAAGGCATACTTTCCTTGACTACTTTCTTATAAAAATGCATTGCAAATGCAGTTTACCTACCTGAAGCTGAGGTATATGGTTTTGTGAGAATTTAATAATCATCAATGCAGTTTAACATGTGCTTAATTACAGTGTTGGTTCTGTTTCAGAATTCCAGGACAGATTTCAATTTCTTCTGAAGCACACTTCTATCAACTCATAAATGAAAATTACCTTTTGTGTCTTTTAGAACTTGTACATTCTTTTCCAGTATTTTTGTCTGCCATAATGTATTCTAAAATATAGTACAAAAATGTATATTTATTATTGAAAAATGTGTAAAATTTAAGTTACTCTCTTCAGTGAACTTTAGCAATATGACTAGTTTATTTACACCATTAACCACAGAACAATTTAAAATATGAAGGTACAGTCTTACCTATATCAGCGAGGTTCTTGTAGGTCTCCAGCATCACATCTTTGTAGAGATTCTTCTCAGAAGTATCCAGCAAACTCCACTCTTCCCGAGTGAAGTCGATATGTACATCATTATAGGTCATGGCATTCTAAAATATCACATACATATGTGCAACTTAAATCATGATACTGACCATATTATAAATGTATGTTTCCATAGAAAATTATATTAAGATGTGTTAGTTTTATGCTATGGAAAATTTGGTTAGTGAAGTAAATTTGTGCTGCTTTTGTTTATGCTGTAGGTTTGTAAAGCTGTGATTCTTAGCCTGTCTACAACTCCTGATGA